CTTTGCAAATTGGTATCCAGTCAAATTATTTTGTTCTAAAACTGTTTAAGTAACAGCTTTAATTTCCTCCAGAAAAATAATACGTTTCCATCTCCCTCTTTAGAGACGGTTTTATGAAGGTGATGAAATGAAGTCTTTGTAGCTTGCTGTCAGAAACTTTAGATATGTCTGAACAGCATTTTAATTATTGCCTTTTCAAAATATAAAATGATTAAGGAGTTCAAACCTGGACTGGATAGTTCTACTGTGATGAGATTGTCTTTATTTGAAGAAATATTTGTCCCATGTAACACACAAAAGGAACATTTTTTTATCCTTTTTGGCGTTGGCATCGCCTTACAATTAGACAAGCATGAAAACTTTGAAAGCTAATATTTCAAACGCCAAGTCAAATCCCTGGCAAATTATTCTACACTGATATCAGATTCTTTAAAACAAAGCTGGTGATTTACAAAATCAGAGAAAATTGGGATTATAAATTTTGCCAAAAATTGGCATTAAAACCTCATAACATCGGATACTCTAAAACCTAAAACTTTGCCATGCTTCATCTTGTATGGACGTACAAGATGAAGCGGCTGCACTGCACTCTTGCAGCAAAGACAATATCTGTGTTTTTCTGTGGACAGCACTGATTAAGAAACTGACAATTAATTAAGTCGTGGGTATTAACAAGGCGATGCTGTTTTATTCTGCTGCGTACGGTGAGTCACCTCTCCAAATCCATCAACCCTCATTAAAATCATCAAAAATGGGTCTTATTGCCATTTACCCCCGAGGAGCTCTCTGTGTGCTGGTTAGATAATCTAACCACTTTGTTCCAGATGCTCTTTGTTCCTTTATTCTCTAACATTAAAGGGAACAGAGAGAAGGCGCATAGCGGTCGAAATATGTGATTGCGTTCATTTTGTATGTCAGACCATGTAAACCGGTTGGCCACAGGATGCGAGTGTCTGTTAAAGACACATCCATGACTCTCCCTGACCCCATTTACTCTGGGCCCAAACCGTATTTGTGTCCCGTTGCCCCGAGCGCTACACCAGTAAGCTATTACACATGCATACTCTGTGACATAATCAACATCTGTCCTATTTGATTAATTTTCTTTACCCCCCCTCGACCCAAATCAAAGTAAAGTCGACCCTCCTTCCCTTTACAGCAGCCTCAAAAAAAATAAAAAAAAAATAAATAAATAAATAAAAGGAGACCCTTACATCACACTGCTGTGAGGCAGTCAGGCATGACGAAGACTGCAGTATTTTCAGCTGGGGAGACACGGACTCCGATGCACACGACCCCACGAGAAAGATGTAACAGGAAACTCATTGAACCTCACCAAAGAGACTATAAACTGTGTTTAGATGTTTTTCAAAAGCAGACATAAACGTTTCAGACTGAATTTTCAGACGAAGGTCGTACTCCGTGCTCCTCTGCCGGCTTTCACTTCAAAAATGCTCAAAGGCGAATCAAAGGAGTGCAATAGAAAAGCAGGCTTCGTTTAATTTGGTCTAAAACACTGAGATCAGACAGATAAATCCTGAAATTTGTAAATTTCGACCCACTCTGCTGCTGTTAATCCTTGGCTGTCAGCTTTGCAGTCTACATTTTGCAAGCAGATCTCATGCTTCATTGCAATATTACATATTGACCTTGTCTTGTGTAAGCGTGTGTGCTTTTTACCTGCTCTGTGAAAAAGAGTGCATGCTTGATTTCGGGGTGTGTGTGTGTGTGTGTGTGTGTGTGTGTGTTTGGGTGGCCTGCAGGCTTTCCTTCCTGCAAAGCTGAGGAATAAAACAAGTGAACAAGACAGCAAAAAAGGAAGAGGCATCACAATAAGGTGACACAGGATGGAGGGAATCACTCTGTCTGACATGCAGCCTGCAGCATGGTGTCACCAATCACACGAAACACGTAAAACGGACATTTCACAGCCAAAGGGAATGCATCGGTGAGGAATTGATTAGAGTAGTTTCCTTTTTCCAGAGATTGCGTATGTTCCCGAAGAAATCGGCCTGCTTCTTATAGCTTCAAATTGCTGCACAGGTTGTTCCCTGTGATGATGTACCCACAAAATGAGGGTGTTCAAAGTTTATTAAAAATACGGATTCTACAGAGACCACATCCGTAAGTCATGGGCGAACACAACAGCCTAACCGTCACTCTGAATCTGTGTCATCTGTGCTCTAAGCCGAAATGCACAAGTCAACTACTCATGTATGAGCACAGATTTTAAAAATTACTTTCTGCTAAATGTTGGCAAAGTTGTCCTTCAGTTGACCAGAAAAGTTTTCTGCTTGGAGGGTCGTAAATTACCTCTATCAGTCAATGGGCAAGAAGAAGCTCAACAATGCATCGCAAGCCAAGCCAATAAAAGACAGAGAAACACACATATACACACACAGACACACACACACACACACCTGAGTGATATTTAGAGTAACCTAACATTCATGCGTCTGGATGGTGGGAGGAAGTCGGAGCATCCGGAGAGAACCACGAGGAGAACGTGCAAACTTCGTCTTTCTGCAAGGAGAAATGTTACATCATGAAGTACTGCCAATGATTGTTCAAAAAGAAAAATCCACCTCTAAATGGAGCATTAATCAAGTGTTTAGAGTGGAAATATGGCAATTTTTGTGCAGATTCAAATCATAACAGCAATAAGGTTTCAAACCCTTAAAACCAGCGCTGTTTGCAACCTGCAGATTGTATGAAGCATGAACCAACATCCTTTGCTATGACATTGTTGGTCTACCTAACCATGTCAACATGGAGCATCCTGTCTTTCTCGTCTTGGTGGAGGCAAAGGGTCTAAGGCTCAGTGCGTGCAAGTTCAATGACACACTGGCATCACAGCGTCGTACAGGGGGCTGGCATGACAACTACAGCTGGCTCTTTTGTTTGGTACGGTTTTCTTTCACATTGTGCTTTTCTGGAAGTGCACTGTGACTTGTAAACAAAGGACGGCTGACGATCACCGTCTCTCCACAGTAATGACGGCGGTGGGAGAGAGCATAGCTTTGGAAGTCCTCCTAGCTGCATTTCTGAATTACAACTGAACGTCAAGAGTAGCTCCTCCGATGACAGTTTTGCAATGTTACATTTCTAACTTTTGAAAAGCTTCAGCAAAAGCCACTGAAAGCTGATGATGCGTGTTCTGATCCGCAACACGCTGGCAGCAGCATCATGAAGCAGAAAATGTCAGCTCAGGTATGTTTCAGCATGATTAGCCTGCAGTGTTAGCATTAGCATTAGTAACACTAAGGGGCTCATTTTCATCATTGTGCACAACAACGGCGACCCAAACGGTCCAGAACAACAGGAGACTCAAACTCTGGTCTGTTTGGACCAAATATGTGTGAATATACATTTACGTCTAAAGTCTTGCACTGACACACTAAGAAGAGAAAAAAAAAGAAAAGTGATTTATTTTGAAATCCTCCTCACTGGGTGGAACTTTCTATTGCTTTCATCCCTGAATAAATAATTCCTCTCATAAAAGCCTTTATGGATGCCGTGACTTTTCTGCATTTTCCCCTCTAAACATAATAGCCGTTTTTACGCCTCACTGAACCGAGAGGGAAAACTGTGATAGCACAGTATTGATGATGTTGTCTTTTTAATCAGCTGGATAAATTTATCCATTGGAATTAGAATAAAAGACATGAGGTTGGGAGAGTAATCACTTGGCAGAGAACCCAGAGGACGAGGGGGGAAATGGCACTGAATGCACATTTGTCACACACACAGACTAAAAACCCTCATAGACCATGAGAGACTTGTTTGTAGAGCACACACTCAAGTTAAATTTAGTTTGGTTTTTATGCACTGAATGGATTTTTTTTATTTTTTTCAAAACAACTGTTATGATCCTTCAGAGAGAGGCTTTTGTCTAAATTTGATATTATAACTCCGGCTTCATGCATAAAAGATGGTCTTTATAGAGAAAGAGAAAGGAAGTCTTGGCACAGAACCGTTGGTGCAATGATGGGGCCATTGACTGCTCAGCGTGTGTGTGTGTGTGAGTGTTCGCAGGCTTGTGTGTAAGCCACATCCTGGTTCTCCTGCGGTCATCATTCAGTGTGGCACACCTGGAGTTTAAGAGGCTGTCTGCTGGGGCCAAATGATCTAGAGAGTCGGAGAGAGAAAAATAGAAAAAGACAGGAGGGGGGAGGCATCCAGGAGATAAGAAGGGGAGGGGAGGTGGCAAAATTTGCCAAGACGGTCTGATAATCCCTGGCTTGTTAGATGTGTGCCGCTGAGAGAAAATGAAAGCATAAAATTAATGGGGGGCGATGGGAAGCAGAGAGCGCGAGTGAAGGAGACGGAGAGAAGGATGGCTAAATGAGAAGGAGGAGACGGATGGAGGGATGCGCGGAGAGACGAGAGCATCCATTTAGGTTGCCGGGACACATTGCTCCTTCATCTTGAAGCGGATCGAGTCGAGCCACGAAGACAAATCAGCAGAAAGAGTCAGAGCAAAAATTTAAAGCAAAAAAAAAAAAAAAATTAAAAATTAATAAAGACTGAGAATAATCCTCATTGGGTTGGTATTGAACGCCGTTTCACTTTTTTTTTAATGCAGAAATGTTAAAAAAAAATTTCAACATTATACTTTTTTTTGGGATGCCCTGTTCAAGACTTTTTAAAATAATCTGTATCAGCTCTCCTGAAGAAACTTAAACTCCTACCACCTGTTGTTGGACTGCCACTGTTCTTCCAGTTTCCTTTCGGTCCGGGCCTGATTCATCTGTTTTCCTTGCTAAAATCTACATTATTTTCCATAACACTCAAAGTGTTTTTCAACCTTTACAATCCATCCGTCTGTTATCTTCCACTGATCTGGGATCCAGACATACTTGCGCTTAATATTTTCATTTCCGAAGGCAGAACCATTCATATCATTCAAGTCGGTCACAGCAACACAACTTCAAAGAGGTCAATCTCAATTCAAGCCAAGTAACTTGTGAACATCAAGCGAACACTTCTTCCTGACTCACCTGAGCGTTCCCACCTGTCTGTGGCAATGCTGCCACTTTGGGGCTTCTCTGACGATCTGCTGTTCTTTAGGTCAAACGGAGGTTTCTGATCAAAGAAACTTTGATCTCAGCTTTATGAAGTTACTGATGTAATTCCTCTGATTAGATCCTCTCTTCTCTGACTCATGGGTTTTGGCCAGACCTGTGAAAAGAAAAGAGAGAAAAGTTTGAACAGCACAATCTTATGCCAATTGTGGACACACACACTTTCTTCAGTGACCACAGCCTGTACTTGTAGATTCAGGTTCAGCTCTGTTTTTATTTCTATCCGCCTCTTACACAGAGCTACAGCGAACAACAATGCCTCGGTGTGAACTAAGAGCTACTTTTTCTTGGTAGTTTGCTTGTGTTGAGAATAAATGATTCTGTGTTTTCCTTCAATCCCTTTTAGCTAGTTGCTAAGCTGAAGCTAAAGGAAATGACATGCTAGGACATGCAAATGAGAGCTCGGGTTAGAGGAAATGACACACTAGGGAACGCCCTCGTTAGGGCGTCGCTTAGATGGAGGCTAACAAAGGAGATCACAAACTCTTCTTGTTTGCCATTTTGTTAGCTAGCTCTTAAAGGTAGCATGTGAAATGGACCAGCTGTGTTTTGGTATTAATAAATGAAATTCATGAATTCAACTCAGATTCTTTCAACCTCATTACACCAAGAACTCAGCATGGAGAACAGATAACTTCTCCACACTTGCTAGCATTTCTTACAATTCAAAAAATAATTGTTGTTAAATGAAATTTGCCTGTCTCGTTATTTGTCTAAGCTAAATAAGTTCAATAGATTCACTATTTGGGAACTTTTCTACATATGGACAGGGAAATTCAGACATACCGTGTCAAAGAATCATTTCCAAATGACGTAAATAAACTTAAAAGCTTAAGTGCTTAATAGTGAGCACTCTCACTATTTCAGGTCGTTTTCTAATTGGGCACCATGCATCATTTTAGCCTTGTAAAAATTAAAACATGAGCTCATAACAGGCTGACACAAGCATCGCCCCTGGACTTGTAATCACAGGCCTGGTGTATCCAAACTCCAGCCGGTGATTAGCTTTTATGGAATGAAAATTGATCAGGATGCCTTTTTTAAAATTACAAACAGAGAAATTTCATCATAAGTGGTCAGGAACCACTCCAGCATCAAGTGATACCGCACACGTTTGAAATTTTGTTCACAGAGTTTGCGGAGCTCTCCGGTAAATCCGTCGCCTCTTGAGTAAAATCCTTCCCCCGCCTCCCCCCTGCTCTGCTTATAACCCGGCAAAGTCCTGTTTGCCGGGTTGGGAACTGCTTGATATGCAAGGAGACACCTGCCTGTTGAGGCATAGCTGGTGATTTTATCCCGTCTCGGTTGAGCGGAGGATGGCATTATGATGAAATGAGAAAAAGTGAGAAAATCATCATCATCACAGCCCCTGACGTGACTGCCAGCTTCCATCTGAGAGAGGGAATGAGATTTGTCAAAGACGGAAACGAAGAAGATTCAGAGATGTTTGTTTGACATGTCGGCATAACACGAGAGGAAAAGAGGGAAGATGTGAAGAACTGACAAGGTAACCAAGGAGTTGAAGCAAAAGACAAAAAAGATGAACCAAGAAGAAAAGAACCAAAGGGAAGACTGAAAGGACAGGAAAATGAGGAGAAAGATATTCACTGATCAGGCACATTATGACTATTGACACAAGAAATGGATAACACTGAATATCTCTTTTGTGGCACTGGTAAAAAAAAAAAAAGATGCTGCTCAGTGTTTTTTATCCCATGTGTGAAGGTGTGATGAAAAAGAGCCTGGCCAGTCCTGTCACACCTCAGAGGCATTTGTTTTCTTTTAATTTGCTCCTTCCTGAATAGTAAATGTGTATTAGAATCAAGGATCGTTACTTTACCATGATGTCATATCTTGTTTTATCTATTATTTAATATCTATGGAGCCAGTGACCATCTGGGTAATATGATTTGAATGCTTTATGAGGGTCCCTAATGTGATCAGATGACAATTTGCAATATTCCTCATAAAGTTAGTCAGAACATCAGTTTCAAGCATCTGGCATGCTGAGTTGAGTGAATCTTCATCAAAGCTGTGATGTGCTAGAGTCAAATACACTGTGATGCCTCAACATTATTTCCCTTTGACATAATTTGAAACAAAAGTCAGATACAGAATATTTTTTTAGTTCAACAGGAAGAAAGTCAAGACATGCAGCAAGTGGCCTACGGTCAGGTACGCTGCATTGAGGCCTGCAGCCTCTGTACATGGTGAACTTCCTCTACCACTGAGCCGCCTGGTTTCCCCACATGCATAATTGTGCGACAGAAGTATTTGTCAGTGAGCAAAAGTTTTATTTTCAAGGCTAATTTGTTAGCAGCTTGGCAAACATGAGGCTCTGAGTTTGACAAATTATGATTTTACAGAGGGAATTATGACTTACGGGACCTGCTGCTAACATCACGGTCTAGTGGCATCCATGCTTCAGTGGATGTGTTGTACTGGTGGACAGGGCGACTTACAAAGCTACTAAAGACACATCAATGTCTGAACCCAAAAGACAAAAGATAATTCAAGAGGACGGACCATTCTTAATTTCTTTGAACTGTCACTGCTGAGTACTTCCATTAGTGTCCGCTGATGTTTTTTCTTTAATCTGGAGCTTCCAACCGTTCCCTCTCCGTTTCATCCAAACACCTCCTCCCTGCATCCTCCTCCACTTGATCACATGCCTCTCCTGATTATTGCCCCTGTCTGTTTCCTTGTCTCCTCATCTCCTCCCTCCTCTCCTCACCTGCCTCGTCTGTCGCCTCTCATTCTGCGTCAGGAGGCCTTGTTGGCAAAACTAGAGGCAAAATCACAACTTCCACCCCTTTCCTCGCGTCTGTGTGTCGGTGAGCTAGAAAAGAGACAAAAAGCTGAAGGAGTGTATGTGTGGTCCGACACGTATGCCCATTTTGCCAAAATGGAACAACTGGTTATTTGCTTTGCCTTCTTCTTTGTTTATCCTTCTACCTGCTCTGTATTCTCTCCAGCCAGGAGTGAACACACCGAATATAACATGGGTTCACCGGATGGTGAAGCGTTAGGTTTTGTAAACATGCTGCTGAACACGGGCTCCCTTAAATTCCCCTTCACCGAGTCACAACAAAAGTTCAGAGTATTGATCGTTGTTCACCTGCTGGAGATCTGTGAGTCACTGAACCATGTTTTTGTACAGGACAAAAACACAGAGGACATGATTAATACAGGATTAACCATCTTTGAGAAACAAAATCCAGACTGACTCATTACTCATCACACAGGGTTAAATTTAATCAGATTCAGAAGGTATTTTAATCACGTTTTGTGGATTACAGAATGGAAGATGCTGTATAAGCACTCCACGCCAAAGATATGCAAGAATCAATGGTGGTTGTTAATTATGAAGTCTGTTTGGTATTAATGATGTTATTAGGTATTTTGCAACATATACATGAATTTCATAAACGAAACAGATTGTTTTTGTGTGTGTGTGTGTGTGTGTGTGTGTGTGTGTGTGTGTGTATGCTACTTCTACTTATTGTTTTCATACTAAATGATTATGTCCACAAATAATGCAGCTTGAATAAATAAGCATTGCAGCAAAGATTTTTGGTCAAAGCTTTTCATATTTTCATCCACATTGACAAAAAAAACATATTCCATCTAAAAACATTCATATAATTCACTGTTGGTTTAACATTTTCTGGATATGCTGATGTTTCCGTGTCAAAGTTGTTTTTTTAAACTAAGTTCCACAGTTCCAGCCTGGTTTCATTAGACTATAACATGTTGGTTTTAAGAAATGTCACCTGGGCGTAACGTTGCACCAATAGCACTCTTGATAGAGGGAATATTGGTTTGAAGCAGTAAATCAAGTAATTTAAATAAATCAGAGAAGTGAAATAGAGCATGTCTTTAAAACGCCCACTGTGAACATTTATATGTTTTTCAACTTTTCTGTGACTACTCAGTTTGAGTTACATCAACTGATTACGTATTTAAAAAACTAGAATAATTTATTAACCTGATCAAATTCTAATCTCCTAATGTGGTGGGCGAGTCTGTTTCTCAGGTGTTTAATAAAACATTTTTCATACTTTTGCATAAATGATTGTGATAAAAAAGCTTCCCCTTCCCCCCCAAACTTCTATGCCATTAAGCTTTACCAAAATTACAGTTTTACTTGCCACTTTCGGTTATATGCAAAAGTTAAACCAGCAACAATTTCTGCTTGATTAATGGCATAAAAAGTAACATAAATGTACATTTAAAACACACTTTTATAAGTAGTGACAAAAGGCAGCATAAAAATGATTTTACTCTAAGACTTTTTAAAATGATATTAACCAAACATGCATTGAGAGAATGAGAACAGTGTTACTGCATGCAGCAGCATCCTTCCTGTGACTTTGTTTAACCCTCCTTTCGGTCACCGCTGGATGCGCTTGTTGACTCTGTGGGCAGGCTGAACAGACCTCGATTATCTAATCAGATTGCACCGAGCCTGTAGGTGTGCGCTTCATAAGTCTAACGAGTCTTGCCGCCATGGGTCATTAGCAGGGAGTGGATCAATGCACATGAGATGCCAGTGCATTAACTTGATTTAATTATGGTATCTTTGTAGTGCCAGGCCTCACTTTGCTTTGCTGTGCAACACATGAATGCTTAAATATCTGCTGATTGATCTGCACTACAGTTTTAAACTTCTTTTTATTATGGAGGGGGGGAGGTTTAACTTTTCGGTGCTACTGACATTGAAGGTGTCATTACATTATCTGGGTATATGCTGCAAAAAAAAAAAATATTTCATTACAGAGAATATGTAGTATTAAATATATCAGGTTATGATGTATTCAGTGTACCTTGCAAATCTGAACTCTGATCCCAGATCAATGGGATGGTTTAGCTAATCCTTGTGTTTCGTAGACAAGTCCCACTAAAATCAGAAATACAAGAGGGTGAAGATGCATTCCCTGCATCTGAACAACATATACATTAGTAGAAGTTATATAGTGGTAGGTTTGACATATTCAATAAATTACAAAAAAAGAGAATTCAAGAAGCACAGGAATTCCCTCCATTCTCCATAATAGTTTTGCTTAAGTTAATTAAAACACTGTAAACACAAATATT